TTCGTCAGTATAATTATTTCCATAAACAATTACATTAGCAACCATATCTTTTAATATTTTACATATTTGCTTATATTATTAGTACCATTTTTGGGTTGAAATGACTATCTTCAGTCAACACTAACTCGTTTTCATATAATTTTCTAAAAAATTCATAACGTTGAAATTATGTAGTATCTTTCCATTATTTAATTGATGAGTCACTTTGCAATGTGTAACGCACACCATATAAAATCGGTCGTGAAAATTTAGCATAACAAGTTCTGCTAACCAGTTGCTTTACTCAGGACCACTTTACATAACTTTATCACTAATTGTTCCACTACTCATATCATTCTGATAAATAGAATATAACTTAGTTGTTCTAATATTAGCTGTTTTTATACTTCCTAACTCTTAAGGGAAACCTAATTTCTTAGTCTTTTTTAGTAACCCACTTGTTCACTAGTAAGATGATAATATTGCTAACAATGTCCTCTGGTATTATTGTGCCATGCGACCTAATGGGAAGCACTTGTCAATGAAAGTTGTTAATGTGCAGCATACTGTATGATTGGGAAGGAGTCAAAGCAATCCAATATTACAACTGCAGTCATTGTAAAAGGTCTCAGAGCTTAATGTCAAAGAAAGGAGGGAGGGTGGTGCATGCTGATCAGCAGATTTGGTAGTAGTCACAACTTCCTAGAACTTTAATAAAGCTGAAATTTATTTTTTCCTTTTTCTCATTTACACCCTTTTCCCTCGTAAAGTTCGGTTGCTCTGATGATAAAAAAACAACACTCATGTTTAGGAATAACTTTATTTTCACAGAAAACGTCATAGTTTTCCATGGTAAGACCAATATGGTTAGCATCATACATTGTAAATGTGCACTATCATATTAAGTATTGTATAACTTATTCTTGTATTTTTCTTGTAAATATACTTCCAATAATATATTATTCATGATTTCATTTTATACCACTTTATAGCTGTGCAGGATTTTCTCCTCTTCCTGAAATAACATTCAAGCACGTGGGGTCACAGTACTCACTCAAATATATGTTGTTTATCGATGGGTCATTACTATCATCAGGAAATGGAACGAAGTATGGGTTGTCGCTCAACTTCGATGGAGACCTTCATGAAACATTTACAAATTAACAATTATAAGAATCTGTTCCGATTGCTTGTACTGTAATTCAACAATTTGAACTTTTTAAAAAAAATGATAATGTATGCTAATTCACAATTGTAATTCGTAACATAATTGATCGTGCCTGTAAAAATGGCATGCATTTCATGTAAACTTACCCGTTTATACGAAATATATGTTATTATTATTATGAAAGGAGCACCGATATCGGCGAAATAATGGATTTAGCAAATGAGTGATTCGGAAAAGTTATCCTACATGGTGTCAAGAATATTCTTGCCAGAATAGATAAATGTAAATCATATCAAAAACAATGTGACAGTAGAAAGGAAATTGGTAGTTTACAAGACCTGCTTCATCGACTGCGGTAGACGGGTTCAGTTAGTGTTCTGCATGACAATGCAGGTTTCGTCTCAAAAACCATTTTTGATCGTAATAATATGATTACCTGTAACATAAGTTTCGAGAAGTATTTGGAAATGACTGCACTTAAAAGACTAATAATACAGGGCAAGTTGTGGTACAAGAGGGTGTAAATTCTTCTCGAATTTATTATAGATAACCTTCATATCAGTTTGTTTTGAGTGATGGATATGGAAGAGGAAGAACCGATCTATTTGCTCTTACTAGGGGGGAAAGGTTTGCAGATAACAAGATTCTGCAAAAGTTTAAGAGATTTGCGAGTGACACATCGAAAACTCTAAAATTCACTGTAGACTGTATAACTGCACAGATAAATGTTCTGAAGGAGGAATTTTCTCGCTGAAGCATTGTTTTAAGTCTTTTCCATGTATGCCAGGATTTCGGCAAGAAGGTAAGTTTCATTCTCATTAATGACCATAACCGAAACATTTCCTTAATCAACGGTAAAAGGTTGTTGTAAACAGGAACGGGGTTAAATACTCATATTGAACATACTGCGCATATAGTTTGTCATGTGGGTATGTCGTTGTGGCTTTCTTGGATTCATTTCTAAACTTTAGTACGTCCCATTTCTTTAAATGTTACTCTTAGATATTTTGAGAAATAGTGAGGGGGGACACGTCCGTCTAACAACGCAGACAATATCCTGCGCTCCGTAACCAAGCAACGTTTACGGAATGCTTGTTAACAGTTAAGATATCGCCTCATCAGCTTCAACTAAGGCAATCCCGATGATGCACTACGTGAAATAGTTAACCAGAAGGTTGTACAGTTTACTATTAAATGCATTGCAGACAACATTACGAATACGACGTGCCCCTGTGCATCTGCATGTATTCATAGGGCAAACATACACACCCAAATTGTTGTTACACTTCCTTTTCGTTCTCATGTCTAAGAGTGATAGATTAAAACAGACTCTAGTTGATTTCTTTGCGACGAAAGCAACTTGGAAGGGAGTTAGTAATCAAGGCGATCTGTGCCTAATTAACTACATTTTATCAACCCAAGATTACTGATTTATAGCATATCCCGAATGAAAAGGACTAATAAGATCCAACGCTTACACCATAGCAACGCTTAAACGCCCGGTTTTACAACAGTTCTAAACTAATTCTAACCTACGCGTCAATTATGTCTTTTAACAGTAAAAAACATTTTCTCTTCCTGAAATGAAACCACTATGTAGTGAAATAACGCCGGCCGTTCTTAAGAAGAGCATTGGACACTGAATATGGGCTAGGAGGGCTGAAATAAGGCCGATAAACAAACACGGTAGATTCTGAGCTACTTCTGAAAATGCCAAGAAGAAAACCAAGGTGCTGTATGGTGGCATTCATTGACAGAAATTGCCCTCGACACATTAAAATATGCAAGAGGTCCAAAGACCCCTTAAAATTCAATGGGAAACGAATTCACGAAAACGTATACCCGGTCGATGTAAAGTATGTGTCAGATTAAGCTTATTGAATATAGATGGACGCTTCTAGGATTCAGTCAGGCTATGTATGGTAGGTATTTGGGCACCTGGAGTATTGAGTGTGGAATGCATTGTCTTAAGAAGTGCTTCTGTGAGATAACACAGTAGACTGAGTCGTGTGATGAAATCTATCTAATTGTGCTTACCAGCATCTGGCAGCAAGTGACACTGTTGTAATAGACTCATACCAATAATGTCAGTGGTCGCACGCAACAAGTCCGGTGTTATTAATATTGGTTTTATTTGGGACAAAATGTTTACACAATGCACAGAATTCTAAGCTTAACTTAGTGCGTATCGTTTTCTTTTCTTTCAAGATAGTGATCCATAGTTCACCTAGTGGTGCGATACTGCTTAGCATGGTGCATAAATCAGTCTCTTACGGTATTTTCCTTCGTTCCCAAAAGTGCCCAGAGGTAGTTTGAAAGTCAAATAAAAATGTGCGTGAGTACATTTTGCGGCCCAAAGAAATAGCTGAATAATTAAAACACGGAGAGGAGAGAATCTGATGCGTTATATTGGATGGAAATCTAGGTAACCCAGTGATTCAAGCGAACTACTATGGAATCTTCGACCATGTTTTGGACGAGAGAACCGTTGGTAGCATACAGCAGCAGTGGAGTTGGTTGAAACTGAGATTTCGCCGGCTTCTACCCTGGTATAAACTGCAATTAGTATAGCAGAATGAGACTCGGGCAACATAGAGTTGGCGATAAGAGAGTAATTCATCAGCGGCGGTGGTTGCCATCACGTGCCGGCCAACGCACTTCCCTACCATTAGGCGCCGAAAGTGTAATACTGAGTATAAGTTTTGCCATTGGCTCTTCATGGTGCCAGCGCAGCGAGGATTGGGAATATCGTAACCATGATAGCTCGCCTAGGGAAAGTGAGATTGATTTACTGAGGGGGCGAGATGGGCGGACTGCAGGTTCTTGTAATCCTCCTAATGGCACAGAGCCCTTCACGAGGCTCGTTGATGTGAGACTTGGTGTCGAAATTCACTGGTTAAAGGAGAGCAAGGATCTTTATTGCAGCCAGCGAGAATAGAAACTATAACCGAAATGTTGTTACTTGGATTGGTAGCCTCGACAACCATGTGAACCACCTCTACTATATGCATCAGAGGTTACTTGTAATGAGAGGCTAGGATTCCTTACCCTGTCTGTCATAATCGTGATAGCCACAGTTGTCAAAAGGAAATAGACAACTAATTGTGGTCAGTGGTTAGCTGATTTATCCTAAGAGGATGCTAAGAGGACTTATAGTCTCAAATACCTAATTCTCTGAAACGATCTTACAGATTGTCCCTGCACATAAAACGAAATCTTCTTATGAAAGCAGTTTTTAGGAAATCACTCAATTTTAAGAATGGGTAGTGTAGGACACTTGAGACGCCCATACTCACAATAACTAAGTTAGACCTAGTTTCCTGAGACTCCCTGCATATGGAAAGTGTGCTTGGAAGGTGGAATGCTGGTGGGTAACTTCCATCTTCCTGGAGGATTTCCTATCAAAAGTGACCGTATGATATGCTGTAGCGATGAAATACAGTGAACTATCACTATTTTTAAGTATTCGAAGTGTGAATCAGTCATGCAAAACTGAAATAGAACTAATTAAGAAGTAAAAATATGAGTAAGTTCAACGAGGTGTGGTCAGAAAGCGGCACCTGGGCTTAATTAATATAAGTGGTTGTGCCTTTGACATCTTACTTTTCCTTTGTCGTACGAAACACTGTATGCTCAAGTTCCCACATAACCACTATCTCAACTAACTTGATCGTACTGATAACGAACATGCATCAAAGTGACTCATTTATTTAGAAATATAATATGAAGGGCAGTACATTTGAATATAAAAAATGCTGAGGTTATTTTAAGGGGGGATATTTCAGAACTAATCTGGTCAATGTCTCTAAACTTGGACTGTGAGGGTGTGCACATACAGCCTGTTAAAAGTAACGTTATGCTGAACTTGGGTAAAAAGAGAAAAAATCATGATTTGTTGTGCTAAAATTTAGTTTGGTAGACTGGTTAGACCTTATAAAAAATTAATATAAAGTAGTACCAGTTATCACTATTTGTTAAGACATTTGTTTTAATCATGTAAAGTATAAATTCTCCGGTTTTCGTTGAGACTTACGGTCACGTACATATTTTCCGAAAATGTCGAGAGCTAAAGTTGGTATCAACGGTTTCGGTCGTATTGGACGACTTGTACTCAGAGCATCAATTCTTAAAAACACTGTGGATGTTGTTGCTGTGAATGACCCTTTCATTGATTTGGAATATTTGGTGTATATGTTCAAGTATGATTCCACACATGGGAGATTCAAAGGAGACGTGTGCATTAAGGACGGAAAATTATGTGTAAATGGAAAGTTGATATCTGTCCACAATGAAAGGGACGCATCACTTATTCCATGGGATAAAGATGGTGTTGAGTATGTGGTAGAGTCTACTGGAATTTTCACAACTATTGATAAAGCCAGTGTAAGATTCTTTGTTAATTTTTATTATTTTGCCTCAGGCACACATTAAAAATAATCGAGCCAAAAAGGTCATCATTTCGGCTCCTTCCGCTGATGCTCCAATGTTCGTTGTCGGCGTGAATGAGAAGTCATATGAAAAGGGGATGACGGTGGTTTCGAACGCATCATGCACGACAAATTGTTTAGCTCCTTTGGCTAAAGTCATCCATGAAAACTTCGAAATAGTTGAAGGCCTTATGACTACTGTTCACTCGTACACAGCTACGCAAAAAACTGTTGACGGTCCTTCTCAGAAGATGTGGCGGGACGGTCGTGGGGCTGCTCAAAATATAATTCCAGCTTCTACCGGTGCAGCCAAGGCAGTTTCCAAGGTTATCCCCGCATTGCAAGGAAAGTTGACTGGAATGGCTTTCCGAGTCCCCACAGCGGATGTTTCAGTTGTCGATCTTACATGTAGATTGGCCAAAGGAGCTTCCTATGATCAAATCAAGGCTGTTGTAAAGGCTGCAGCTGAGGGGCCAATGAAAGGCATTTTGGAATACACTGAAGATGAGGTGGTTAGCTCGGACTTTATAGGGTCCACATCGTCTTCTATTTTTGACGCTAAAGCTGGCATATCGCTTAACAATAATTTCGTGAAACTAGTTGCTTGGTATGTTACATATTTTCACTTACTGACCTCACTTCATTTTTAGGTATGATAATGAGTTTGGCTACAGTTGCCGAGTCGTTGATTTGATTACTCACATGCACAAGGTTGATCATGCATAATGAAATAGTCCTCGCTGTAGTCGGTAATTTTTTGTCAAGTAATAGAAAAAGCAATAAAGTATTTATTTAACATTTGTTTGTTGTAATTTCAGTCGATTGTGAAGCTCGGTCGTTGAATGATATGTGTGTATAGTAGTAAATATTGCTGTTGGTGTTCAGTTTAAGCTACGACTCATTGTTTCTGCCCAACGTTACTTAGGAAATGTTTTCTAATTTGCACGCATTAGTTATTCTGCAATTATCCTTTAAATATAATTGGTGCAGAATAGAATACTTTTCACAGCCCTTGTATTTTTATGGTTGGTTTCTAAAGTACTGGGTTAAATGGATACAAGATGTGTGTATGCCTTGGTATGTTTTATTTGTTTCGTCGATAAGTAAAACAAAACTTTACTACTTGGTAAATAATGACTGAGTAACCGTTGCATTCAACTGGTATTCGGGTCCATGGTTTATTTTATCGTCAGTGTTATTCTTGTTACTCATACACTTAGCTGGTGTACATCTAAAATGTTGCAACTGCCAAAAGATGTACCTGATGGGTGATTTTATTGGTATTCAGAAATGGAAAATGATGAAATGTATACAAAGTATTTTGTGCACCTCAGATATCAGTTCCATGAATCACGAGCCACTGTAAATTGCTAGTGCACTGCACATCACTTCTGGATTCCTCTATTTTCCACACCGTCTTAGTCATGTTATAAAAAATTGTTGGCGAAGTCACACAATAGTGGATCACCCTGACACATGACCTTCGATTACCAATTCGAGTTAAAAGTGATATAGTCGAATCAAGTCATGCCTTCTGTCCTATATTCGCTTGACGGTTTCCAGGGACATCTAGAGTTTGATTGCTGTGTGCGCAATAAAATAGTTATGGTTAGTAAAACATACGTATACTGGGGAAGCCTACCAGGATAACTGGTCTTTCAAGAGGATTTTGATTTAGAGGTAGATTAAAGAGCCGAATCAGGAACACAAACAGATCTCAGAACACCATGATACACAGCTATCTTAACAATTTTGCGACTTTTATTGCTGCTTAATTTTCGTTAGTTGCGTAAGATCAGTGGTAAGGTTGATTAGGGTAATTGTTATATTTAACCTCTCCGCAACTTAATCCTCACTTCGTTTGACTAGCTTTTCTAACTACAGTTAAAAATCTCTTTAAGGATTTCATAGGTGTGAAGACAGACTTCATAAAGAACCTGTTTTACTATGATAGTCCGAAAGCACTGAATGGCTATTCCATTCTAGTTCGCTATTATTCAACAGTCTGAAACCGAGACCGTACCACGAATCTAAACCAGATTATAAGGAAACTATCATTTAGCTACTGGGTTGTAATCGAATGGCTAGCGATTTGCTTTTCCTATTGTGGTTGAAAAGATAATTCATGAAAAAAGGTCCCTATGAGAATATTTGCTTGCCGGGACGCTGATGCCATTTTCAGGATGAGAAACGCAGTTGTTAGTGCTTGACTAGGTGGAGTTGAAATGTACGTACGTGCCCTTAAAGTCAGTCATTCTTTTCTGTTTTTGTTGTCAATCCTATACAGTTTGTTTAGAAAGCATAGCATTCTTCCTGAGGAATGCATGAGGAAGTTTTTCGTTGAGTGTAACAGTTAACAAATTGATTGCAAATGACTGATTATTGGTTTTGTTGCTGTTTTGAAGTGTTACATGTTATATACAGGGCTCCATATTTATTACGGTAGTATAGTGCATGGTCCACACTAAACTTCAACTTTGATTTTCTGTTTAGTGCAATATGAAATCATCCAGTTACTTAGTCAGAATTCTTCGAAGTTATGCAGGTTACCTCCATTCGAAAAGACTTAGTGTTGCAGGAAATTCCTTTTTCAACAGGCTGTACATATGAAACATCTTGAAATTACTTAATTTGACCTCATACTGAACAGTCTTTTCGCATTTACTATGACATTTCTAATTCCTAATAAATCAGCTGGAGTATGTTAGGCATTTTCCAAATGGGAAGTGACGAGTAGGTTGTCCCAGGGTGAGATGGAGGAGATCTTGCGAAATGGAAATGAGAGATTTTGGGCCATCGTGGACCCAGCTGAAGAGGACGGCAGAGTATAGAACAAAGTAGAGATGTTATTAGATACTTGGAGGCAATCGGCAGGAAGCCTTGGACCTAGGTTTCGTGCTAGTTGGCACTCACCAGTCAGCAAGGCGTATCTGCAACCTCGTAGGAACTCATGTCCCTTCTGATATTCGAACCTGCGTCACCCAGTGCTTCAGTCAGAGACGTTACCACTGAGTTATTCGGGCTCGCGATTGATTGGACACTAGTAGCTAGTGTGACGTGTCTAGCTCAGTGGTAAGGTCTCTGACTGCAGCACTGGGTGACGCGGGTTCGAATCTCAGAAGGGACATGAGTTCCTTGAAGGTTGCAGATACGCCTTGCTGACTGGTGAGTGCCAACTAGCACGAAACCTAGGTCCAAGGCTTCCTGCCGATTGCCTCCAACTATCAAATATCATCAAATCAATGTGCACCGTGATGGCGAGCCACCTAGAACGGTGGCCACATTGCAAACCCGACTGATAGAATTCAGTCTGCACCAAAGAAAGGAGTAGACACGTCACACTAGTTACTAGTTTCCAATCAAAGTAGAGATGTATTGTTGATGGCCTAAGTTCCACTTGGAACCCAAGGGAATAATAATAATGTTGGGCCTTTTATTATTGATTGTTAAAGACGGTAAGCAGCCGAACCACCAAGCAGAATGAAATGAATCCATGTTATTCTTCTCTTTCACAAGTTGTGCAGTTTCATTTTATTTTACTGCATAATTGTAATTCATCAATGTAGATTTGTGAAGAAAAAAATATTCTTATCGTCTATATTCGAGGTTAATTGATTTCATGATCTCACCGTATCATCATTTTCAGGATAAACAGTTTCAATTAATTCATATTCTCAATATCCAATCCAGTGAATTAAAACGTTTACAAGTCTAGTTTAAGAGTTTTACTGAACACATGGTAAAAAGATCTCAGCCTGTTTTGAATACTTAATCAAATGAACTTAGTTATATTATTCAATAAATAGTTCTCAGTCTCATTGCTTACTTTCCGAGAGGAACATAGAGCTTCAATCTTTGAAGTTTCAATACTCAGGGGTTTGTTTACACCTGGTGGGGGTAGCTAGCCTCACACTTATTCTTCCTTCCTTTCCTGTCTTAATACCGGCTACTAAAATAAGTGGGTTAGATGAGAATGGAACCCGTACCTCTCGTGTGAACCGCCAATGTACCCAATAGGTACTTAGTGAATGATTACTCGATATCTATTATCTAATCGAATCCACTTGCTTAGATATTGTATTCATAAGCTATCATAAAAAAAGAATTCGTAATCTTCTACCACTTAACTGAGGAATCGGATTGTAATTGTATTAGATATGTTGCTAAGCTATTCGAATTATTATCTTTAATTTAAATGGCTTAACAACAAGTGTTTTAACATCAGCTGTATAATCATGATACATGTTCAATGTCTTTTTTCTGAAATAATACAAGGCTTGGAAGAATTATTAAATTAACCATAAATTTTATCTGTCCCACTTTTTCACCAGTTCACCTATTGATGTTTTAACAGCCAGATAGTATCATTAGTTCATAAATATCCATCTGACTGCCTACACTGTTGGAGGGTTTTTTCGTGAACATTTGTAAAGTTGAGGGATTACTAGAAATGACATGGATAACATAGGAAAAATTGGGTTAATTTTTTGGACTCACATGAGAAACGTGGGAAAATGTAGATAATTTCTTTGTTGAGAACGTGGGAAAAGTGTGTAAATAATTTTTCTCCAGACAATATAGCAAAGTAGGCGACAACCTGGGGAAAGTGGTTATTTCACCTTACATCTCGCCGACCTGTCACCCAATAAAAATTGCCTGTTTTTTTCACCTACATTCTCTGACTGCGTAGGTGTAGAAATAGGTAATTGACAAGGCTTTTCTTGTTGATATGTGAAGTATTCTGAGACTGATTATCTTTGTCAATGGAGTATTTTGAATTGCGCATAGTCAGTAGTTGGTGATAATAGTATCGCCTATGCTTTAATTTTAAAGTAAATTTGAGTCGGATGATTTATGTTTGATGTCACACAAAATCGAAAACTTACAAGCGAAAACCGACAAACTGGTCGAAGAAGCAGCAAAGACAGGACTCCAGGTGAACATAGACAAGATGGAGGTTATGAAAATAACCAACCACCAACAACAGCATCAGCAACATCCAGCGCCAATCACCATCAACGGGAGGGATTTGAAAGAGATTACTTCATTCACTTATCTAGGGAGCATTGTCTCAACTACACGAGGAACGGACGAGGATGTCAGATCGAGAATCGGGAAGGCAAGAAACACATTCATCTACCTGAAACCAATCTGGAAATCTTCGTCACTCAGCCTGCATCAACAACAAAATTCGGATTTTCAATACAAACGTCAAGTCAGTTCTTCTATACGGATCAGAAACTTGGCCAGAGGGTCACAAAGAATATTTCCAACAGCCTGTTGCAGACCTTTATCAACAACTGTCTTCGCTCTATACTGAAGATCAGATGGCCGGAAAGAATCACCAATAAGAAACTATGGGAAGAAATAAAACAAGAACCAATCGCCCAACAAATATGTAGGAGAAAGTGGAGATGGATTGGACACTCGCTGAGGAGGCTGCTTGGTGACATCGCGCGTCAGGCCAACGCTCGAGTGGAACCCGCAAGGGAAGCGGCTAATGGGACGTCCAAGGATGACATGGAGGAGATCGTGTGAAGAGGAACTGAAACAGTATGGATTAACATCGACGCAGGTGAAAAATACAGCAGAAGACAGCAGCAAGTGGAGACGTGCAGTTGAAGCCCTATGTTCCACTAGGAACCCAAGGGAACAACAATAATAATAATAATTCAAAAACAAGTAAACTATCAAATGGTAGGGATAGATGTCTTGTTGGCGTATGTTTATTGGCCAACTGGATAAAGTTTGAGTTTATAACAAGAAAAATTTATCAAATTTGTCGTTTGCATATTACACAGCTCGAGGTAAGAAGACGCCATGGTTGCTTTCAGAAACCAAAAATATTCAAATCATTCTATGTGATCTTTTTGATACTACAGACAGCAATCAAGAAAGTGCGAGAAGTAGCTTGGTGGTATATGGTATTAACTGATATGAACAGTAGTTCGATATCACCCAAATTAACCATCAGTGCTGGCTAACCGGATTGAAATGAGCTAAACGGCCATTTCGTTCCCTTGAGTCCATTCATGGTATCAGGTGGATTACATATTGTGAAAGATTAGATTCTTTGTATTTATATTTCTCTCAAGTAGCTAGTCAAAATTTAAATCGTATGGAGTGATTAAGCTCCCTGAGCTG